TTTGAGATCAGTATGACCAACATGGAGAAACCTTGACTCTACTAAAAATACAAAATTAGCTGGGCATGGTGGCACATGCCTATAATTCCAGCTATTCGAACTCAGGAGGCAGAGGTTGTGGTGAGCCAAGATTGTACCGCTGCACTCCAGCCTGGGCACCAACAGCAACACTTTATCTCAAAAAAACCCAGCCAGGCATGGTGGTGCATTCCTGTAGTCCCACCTACTCAGGAGGCCGAGATGGGAGGACTGCTTGAGCCTGAGAGTGTAAGACTGCAGTAAACTGTGGTCACGCCACTGCACTCCAGCCTGGGTGTCAGAGCGAGACCCTATCTCAAAAAAAAAAAAATTACAGACTGTAAAATAGGGAGATTATCCAAGAGGGTCCAGAGTAATCAAATAGACATTTAACAGTAAATATAGAAGACAGAAGGGTTAAGTCAGAGAGAGGGATGACGGAAGAAGTAACAGGAACGATTCAAAATGGAAGAGGGACTCTACCCACTATTGTAGGCTCTGAAGAAAAGGGGACCATGAGCCAGGGAATGAAAGCAGCCTGCAGCAGATAGAAATGACCCTCAGCTAACAGCAAGAAAAGGAGACTTTGATCCTTCAACTGCCAACAACTAAATAAACAAGGAAATGGATTTGCCCCCTGCCCCAAAACCTTCATAAAGGAAGGCATTCCTGCCAGCACCCTGAATTTAGCCCAGGTAAAAATCACGTCACCTCTCTGACCTACAAAACTGCAAGATGATACATCTGTGTTAAGTTACTGAGTTTGTAGTAGTATTTGTAACAGCATCAAAGGAAAACTTATATACTTACCTTAATAAAACCTTGAATTAAAGGACTCAGAAGGGTCCCTAAAGTAATTTAAAAATATTTCATTTTGCTGGGCATAGTGGCTCCCACCTCCAATTCCAGCACTTTGAGGGGCCAAGGTGGACGGATCACCTGAGGTCAGGAATTCAAGACCAGCCTGACCAACATGGAGAAAGCCCATCTCCATCTCTACAGAAAATACAAAATTAACTGGATGCGGTGGTGCATGTCTGTAATCCCAGCTACTCAGGAGGCTGAAGCAGGAGAATCACTTGAACCTGGGAGGTAGAGGTTGTAGTGACCCGAGATCACGCCATTGCACTCCAGCCTGGTGACAAAGTGAGACTCTGTCTCTCAAAAAAAAAAATATATATTTTGTATGCCTCCCTATGTTACCCAGGTGGGTCTCAAACTCCTAGGCTCAAGTGATCCTCCCACCTTGGCCTCCCAAAGTGCTGAGATTACAGGTGTGAGCCACTGCTCCCGGCCTAAACTGTATTTTAAAAATCCAGTTCATGTCTGGTCCCAAATGGTTCTGGTAAAATAAGTTGTGTTATGACTGGATATGTGTGTATAGCCAATAAAATGCAATAAAATATTAAAAGACTGAAAGCTACACAGCAATTATTTTTATGTAAGAACTCTAAAAAGTACTTGACAAGTTATTATGAGAAACGTTTTATCTAGGACTGATTTCTAAGGCAGGATTTGAGTTTCCATAAAAATAGAACCTTCTGTCTCAGAAGGTATATCAATAAGAGTACCAGAATCTTCTATTTCCAAGTGCAGTGGTTTCTCCTGCTCACAACTCAGGTTTGAACTGTCTTTCATTTGAATCTCTTCCTCTTCCAATTCCAAAGGTTTATCTGGGGCTGAAGCTACCACTTCTTCGTCTTCATTCTCATGTAGAAAGCTACAGATCATGTTGGGTCGGTAGGAGAAATCATTATCCTTTATTTGCAGCCATTCCACCCCACCTAATTTTGAGGGGTGAGGAATAAACCAAAAAAGACACATTAAAAAAAAATGTTAGTAAAGTATATTCTTCTTTAATTTAAATTTCTATCCTATGAATACATGTCAAACTGAAAGCCCAACATACACCAAGGAACATGGTATCTGTAACCACTGATAAAATATAATTTCCATCTCATCTGGAGACCTTGGAACGCCTATTGGGTAGGTACCACCAAAATCACTACAAGTTACCAACTTCTATGACTATTCCATGCCTTTTTCCAGAGTTCAGTTCTCAGCTCATTCTGAGAAACAATTTGAGCACTTTCTGCCATCTCATGCCTTTAAAGAAATTTAGTACTTTCCCACAACTTTTTTTTTTTGAGACAGAGTCTTGCTGTGTCTCCCAGGCTGGAGTGCAGTGGCGCAATCTCAGCTCACTGCAACCTCTGCCTCCCAGGTCCAAGCAATTCTCCCACCACAGCCTCTCAAGCAGCTGGGATTACAGGTGCCTGCCACCACACCCGGCTAATTTTTTGTATTTTTAGTAGAGACAGGGTCTCACCGTGTTGGCCAGGCTGGTCTGGAATTCCTAACCTCAAGTGATTTGCCCGCCTTAGTCTCCCAAAGTGCTGGGATTACAGGCGAGAGCCACTGTGCCCAACCAAAACTGTGACTTGTTGTTGTTGTTGTTGTTGTTGTTGTTGTTGAGACAGAGTTTTCTGCTCTTGTCGCCCAGGGTGGAGTGCAATGGTATGATCTCAGTTCACTGCAGCCTCTATCTCCTGGGTTCAAGCAATTCTCCTTCCTCAGCTTCCCGAGTAGCTGCAATTACAGGTGCCCACAACCATGCCCTGCTAATTTTTTTGTATTTTTTAGTAAAGACATGGTTTCACCATGTTGGTCAGGCTAGTCTTGAACTCCTGACCTCAGGTGATCTACCCACCTCGGCCTCCGAAAGTGCTGGGATTACACACATGAGGCACTGCGCCTGGCCAAGACTGTGGCCAAGAACTTCTAAGTCTAGTTCATAAAAGACATTGTGGCTTCTACCTTGTTTTCATGGAATACTTTATCTCAGAGAAGCCAACTGCCATATCAGGAGGACATTCGAACAGTCCTGTGAGGAGGACAACAGTCCTACGAGGAGGAACTGAAGCCACCTGCCAACAAGCAAAACAAATTTATAAGCCTAAGCCATATGAATAAGCCATTTTATAATCAGATTTTCAGCATTACTCAAGCCTTCAGATGACTGCAGCCCAAATAACATTTTGACTTCAACTTCATCAGAGACCTAGAGCCGGAACCACCTAACTAAACTGTTCCCAAATTCCTGATTCAAAGAAACTGTAAGATACTGGTTTTTTTTTTGTTGTCATTTAAAGATGTTACATTTGGGGTAATTGGTTATGCAGCAGTAGATAACTAATGCAGACTTGAATTGTTGGTTGCTCACTTTTTGACTAAGCAAAACACCCAAACATTCCCAAAGATCTATCAGATTTTTAAAAACTCGGAGGAGGAAACTCATAACTTCCTTTAATAAGAATATCTCAACAATACCTAAGCTTGTGATACATGTTAGCCTTTCAGGTTTATTCTAGAACCTAGTACTTCTTTCTTCTTACAATTATTACAAGGTTCCTAAAAGAGGGCATAGTTTGGGGATACACATGGTAAGAACAAAGTTTTATTATATAGTTGTATATAGGTCATGTAACTAATTTTATAAGATTAATGTACCTTTAAATGTTTATTCATTGTTAAGCTATACTTACCATGAAAATCTTATTTACTAGAATTTCAAATATGTTGTTGAGCAGTGAACCTTTAAACCATCAAATGATTATTTGTTCAGCTCCACAACCATGGGTCTGCTTCAGGTGCAAAAAGCACTAGTCTAAAAGTCTTGAGTATGTGGTGACCAGCGAGTGAAGAAGAATAAGTGGATGCAAATTAAGAACTAGACTCAGGCCAGGCACAGTGGCTTACACCTGTAATTCCAGCACTTTGGGAGGCCGAGGCAGGTAGATCACCTGAGGTCAGGAGTTCAAGACCAGCCTGGCCAACATGGTGAAACCCCATGTCTATTAAAAAAAAGAAAAGAAAGAAAAAGAACTGAGAACTGGACTAAAAGTCCAGGTGAAGTGGCTCATGCCTGTAATCCCAACACTTAGGGAGGCTGAGGTAGAAGGATTGCTTAAGCCCAGGAGTTGGAGACCAGCTGGGCAACATAGTATTCTGTCTCTATTTTTTAAAAAAGGCCAGGTGCAGGGCTCACACTTTAGGAGGCCGAGGCAGGCAGATCATCTGAGGTTGGGAGTTTGAGACCAGCCTGACCAACATGGAGTAACCCTGTCTCTACTAAAAATACAAAATTAGCCGGGCATAGTGGCGCATGCCTGTAATCCCAGCTACTAGGAAGGCTGAGGTAGGACAATCGCTTCAACCCGGGAGGCAGAGGTTTCAGTGGGCCAAGACTGTGCCATTACACTCCAGCCTGGGCAACAAGAACAAAACATCTCAAAAAAAACAAAAAACAACAACCAAAAACAAAGAAATAGCCAGGCATGGTGGAACGCGCCTGTGGTCCCAGCTGCTGGGGAGGCTGAGGTGGGGGGATGAAGGGCAGAGGTCACATTGAGATGACATCAGGCCCCGACACTCCAGCCTGGGTAACGGGGTGAGACCCTATCTCAAAAAAATAAGATAAAAAATTTTAAAAAGAACTAGACTTAGGACTAACACAACTGTGGTCCTAAAGTCTTTCCTACATTTAAAGCCAGCTTTTGGCCAGGGGTGGTGGCTCACGCCTGTAATCCTAGCACTTTGGGAGGTCGAGGTGGGTGGATCATCTGAGGTCAGGAGTTCAAGACCAGCATGGCCAACATAGTGAAACCCTGTCTCTAACAAAAATACAAAAATTAGCTGGGCATAGTGGTGCATGCCTATAATCTCAGCTACTCCAGAGGCTGAGCCAGGAGAATCACTTGCACCCAGAGTGGGAGGTTGCAGTGAGCTGAGATGGCTCCACTGTACTCCAGACTGGGCAACAGAGCAAGACTGTCTCAAAAAAAAAAAAGCTTTTTCCAGCTGTGAGCCTTTTTTGGGGAAGGCTATTGCAGCTGCAAAAAGTTTCCAGGGGATTTCAACTTGGGAATTCAAACTATTGTGATCATATTCACTTCACTTACAAGGAAGTTTTTCCCCCCACACGTCAGACAGGTAATATGCTGACATCATAACAAGGTTTGAGGGAGGCACATCTTATAAATAAGTGTAAACACATCACCACACTTATGAACTACAAAAAGATACAAGGAAATTTTTAATTAAAGAGGGGGATGGGGAAGGAAGAGAGTGAGACAGCAGAAGAACTGCTGAATTCCCAAGGGCTTAGATATCAAGCTTCTTTGAAAACTCCTCAGTTCTTTCCAATGCAAAGGAGATGAAGATTTCTACGTCCCCAGTGCCCTCAATTTTATCTAAGTTCAACTGAATTTTAACTCTACGCTTGGTACTTCACATGGAGAACCCTCAATTTTAATATATTAAACATAATTATAAGGCCAGCCACAGTGGCTCACACCTATAATCCCAGCACTCTGTAGGCTGAGGTAGGTGGATCACTTGAGGTCAGGAGTTTGAGACCAGCCTGGCCAACACAGTGAAACCCCATCTCTACTAAAAAATATTAAATTATTGCAGATGCAGTTGCTGAAAAAAAATAGCTGGGCATGATGGAGGGTGCCTGTAATCCCAGCTGCTCAGGAGGAGGTTGCAGTGAGCTGAGTGTCCCAGTGCACTCCAGCCTGGGCAACAGAGCAAGATTCTGTCTTAAAAAAAAGAAAACATTAGGTATAGTTATTACTGCAAAGTACAAGGACTGTCCTGGCATCAGTGTATCATTGTTAAAGATAATACTGGATCGCCTATTTTCAGAGAATATGAAACTAACCTATGTTTTCTTCTCCTTCCTTCTTCTCTGTCAGAAGAGTTCTTGTCATGCTGAGCTTCTTCATGGTATGGCATTTATATTTTAGCACTGTTTTATTACTGCCTTCTGTATCAGCTAGAACGGAAATGAACTCCATTAGTATACTGCTTACGACATCAAATAAAACAATGATGAAGCCTTAGTAATTCCAGGGAGTCAGACTAAACTACTTCCTGTCAAGATAGTGTAGTAAATTCAAGGTATAACTAATGCCTTCTGCTCCAAGCACAGAAAAATGACAGATAAAATACATTAACAGACACCATTACATGGTGTCTCATGCCTGTAATGCCAGCACTTTGGAAGGCTGAGGTGGGCGGATCACCTGAGGTCGGGAGTTCAAGACCAGCCTGACCAACATGGAAAAACCCCATCTCTACTAAAAATACAAAATTAGCTGGGTGTGGTGGCATATGCCTATAATTTCAGCTACTCACCAGGCTGAGGCAGGAGAGTCGCTTCAACCTGGGAGGCAGAGGTTGCAGTGAGCCAAGATCGCACCACTGTACTCCAGCCTGGGCAACAAGACCAAAATTCCATCTCAAAAAAAAAAAAAAAGTATATATATATAAACAGTTGAAAGCACTACTGGATTCAAAAGTAACAAACATCTCCATGGTACAGAAACAGATTTATGAGTGGGATTTACGTGTAGGTCTAACAGGCTTCATCCCTCAAGTGGGAAATTGGGGCCAGGAATTGTACCCCATAGGGTATTGGGATCTAAAATTCTACCACTCAAAATGAAGGACTAAAGTCAGACTTACTACTTGTAGCCAAAGTATGGAGTAGGAACATTCTCAGTCATGAAAGGCTGAAAAAATAAATTGCTGCCAACCTGCTGCCTGGAGTTGAAACTTTCAGAAAACTGTATGCCTAGGCAGGAGGGAGGATGAGGCCCTTGTGCCAAGGATATGAAGCACCAACTTCCATATATTGCTACTGTGAGTATAAACTGATACCACACTTTAGAAAGTAGGCTGCTCTGCCTATGAAGTAGCCCTTTTTTTATTCCTTGGCCAGGAGTGGTGGCTCACACCTATAATCCCAGCACTTTGAGAGGCCAAGGTGGGTGAATTGCTTGAGGTCAGGAGTTTGGGACCAGCCTGGCCAACATGGTAAAACCCTGTCTCTACCAAAAATATAAAAATTAGCCAGGCATGGTGGCAGGCACCTGTAATCACAGCTACTTGGGGAAGGCTGAGTTAGGAAAATTGCCTTAACTTGGGAGGCAGAGGTTGTAGTGAGCCAAGATTGTGCCACTGCACCCTAGCCCGGGCAACAGAGCGAGACTCCGTCTCAAAAAAAGAAAAAAGATAAATTCAGGAGAGTGATCATCTCTGAAGACAGAGGGAAAGAAATAAGTTTGGAAAGGGATACAGAAGGACTTCAAATATATCTGGAATGGGGTTTGTTTGTTTTTGAGACACAGTCTAGCTCTCTTGCCCAGGTTGGAATGTACTGGTGTGATCTTGGCTAACTGCAACCTCCACCTCCCGGGTTCAAGCAATTCCTATACCTCAGTCTCCCGAGTAGCTAGGGCTACAGGCAAACACCACAATACCCATCTAATTTTTGTATTTTTAGTAGAAATGGGGTTTTGCCATGTTGGCCAGGCTGGTCTTGAACTCCTGGCCTCAAGTGATCTGCCTGCCTCAGCCTCCCAAAGTGCTGGGATTATAGGATTGAGCTCACTCACCCAGCCTGGAATGTTTTTTTTTAACTATAATCTGAGTCAAGTTTGGCAAAATAGTAGGACATGCTATAGCTAGACAACGGATACATGAGATATTTAATGTTTATTGTATTTAAGTATGATTGAAATAGTTCATATTAAAAAGGGCTGGCTAGCAATCACTTACCATGTTCAACATTTTCTTCAAATATAACACAGGTCCCAAGAGTGTCTGCAGAAAAATATGAAGGCAAATTGTTGAGAAGAGCTACCATCTCTGAAAGGCCCATAACAGGAGTTCCACCAATCTGACATCCTCCTACCTTCATACTCCCCAGCAAAGACACAACTGTCCACTTGCAAAATGGGCCTCTCAGTGTCAATGCCCTACAACAGAATAAAAGATCATTAAAAAACATAATTAGAAAAAGACTTCAACATTGTAACCTTGCTACCAAGGAAACTAATCTCCAAAATTGGGGAACCTCTAGAGTATCTCCTCCTACCAAGTACGGGATAAATTATAACTGCTCTGATCATAGCAGCTGCAACCTGAAGACTCCTTAATTCATAGTAAAGTAACAAGGTCTATTTCAGTCAACATCCTCTTCAAGAGTAAGCTAAGAACAGAGGAAGTTTTGTCAACATTAGTGCAAAGAGTCTATCTAATGTATGCATCATCTCTCTATTTTTTGAGATAGTGTCTTGCTCTGTTGCCCAGGCTGTAATGCAGTGGCATGTCATGGCTCACTGCAGCCTTGACCACGAGGGTTTGGGCAGTCCTCCCACCTCAGCCTCCTGAGCAGCAGGGACCACAGGCACATGCCACTATGCCCAGCTAATTTTTTATTATTATTGTAGAGAGGGGGGTCTCGCTATGTTGGCCAGGCTGGTCTCCAACTCCTGGCTCAAGTGATCCTCCCACCTCGGCCTCCCAAAGCGCTGAGATGACAGGAATACACATACTGTTCCATACCAAAATGTTAACTCCTCCAAATCTTTAAGTTTCTCTTCAGCCACACATTGAGACAGGCAAGCAAAGTTAGACATTTTCTCCTATCTGCTCCCATAGTCCCCCCTGGACTTCTACATTATACTTAATTATATATGAATTAATTATTATACTTAGTGTACGTCTTATTCTTAGAGTTCACTGCTTTGTAAGGTGAGATAAATGTATCAATACTTGTGGAAAGGTATTTTACCATTCATTAAAGAAACTCTGGAACAATCCCCCAAGTCTAGAAAACTCACCAAAATCTTACATTTGTTTTCACATTTTGAAAGAAAGTCTGAATCAATGATTCCTGATAACTCCACCAGAACCAACTGCTCCTGGTGAAAGAAAGAGGGGTTAACATGGTAGCACGCGAGCGGGCAGGAGGAGGCAATTAGCAAAAGAAGCCAAAAATCCCCTCTTCGTGAAAACCGGACCGTGTTTTCAACAAGAGGAAGCGACGCTACCTAAGGTAACTTCCCAGTACTTCCCATTCTAAGTAGGGGGTGACGATTAGGGCTGGGGTCCCACGCTGCCCGGTTCCCCGCGCCCAGGAGCAAGAAGCCACTGAGGCGCGAAGGGGCCTCCCTCCCGCCGGCAGCGCCCCGACTCCCTTCCCCACACACAGCCGGCACAGGCATCACCGCCACCGCGGTGCAGGCTTTCGGCGTAGCGCTTACTACCTCCTCCTCCTCTTCGTCCTCCAGACTCCGCTGGTCGACAGCCGCCATAGTCACTCGCCGCCTCGCCTCCCAGTCACTGGCCACGCCCGCCCGGAACCGCCATCTTGAGTACGGGCAGCGGCTCCCATGCGGAGCAGCTCTCTGAGTTCCTGCCGCTCTGCTCCTCGCCGCGCAAACCGCTCCTGCCCGGACCCGAGATGTCGGCTTCCGGCGGGCGGGTGGCTACGGGCGTCCGCGGCGGCGGAGACCTAGCGGAGACCAGCCACGGCCGCCTCCTTGCTAAGTGCCTGAGAGCAAAGGCGGGAGTGGGCTGCCGTCGGCCGTGGAGGCCGCTCGGTCACGCAAGGGTGGGGACCTGCGACCTAGGGAGTCGCTAGGCTCCCGGCCCCGCTGGTGGGGAGGACTGGCAGGGCAGAGGGGATCAAGGTGAAAGCAAAGAAACCATGGTTTTGGGGGGATCATGGACAGAGAGACCTTGTGTTGACGCGAGTACATTTCTTGGAAAGAAATTCTTAATACTGTGTGAGCGCTGATCTTCTATTCAACGTCCCCCAAGCCAAGTTAAAGGCACATGCAGTTTAACAAGTAATGAGCGCCTGCACAGTAAAAAGCACTGCACCAGGACCTATGAAAAATAGAAAGTGGGCTTACATTTAAGGCCTGCAGGAGCATAGGATCTGTTAGAGGTGTATAAATGAACCCAAGCAAGTACTGTAAGAGGTACAGTTTGTTACGGAAATACAGAGACCTGGGCAAGAGAAGTTTGAACAGAATTTTCTTAAAGTATCCCATAGATGTTTCTGATTATGAAAGAAACGGTCTTCGTACTTAATGATAGCGTGATCTAGTGGTTAAGATCGTGAGCTCTGCATTTTAATACCTGTCAGGTTCTGCGGCATTATTAACAGCAAGGCTTTGGGCAGATTGGTTACTGTAAGGATTAAATAAGATAATACATGTAAAA